CAACGTTCTCGATTGATGAACTTCACTGTTGTCATCTGGGCGTGTTCAAGTCTTGGGTCGTGAATGTGTGGTGGAAGCTTCTGGAAGCAGACGCATTTGGAACGCAAGCCACTCGACAAGAGGACCCTGTCAGACACGGCCTACACATCATGAAAAATATCTTGCACGATTGGTACAAAGCAGAACGTACAAAACGACACTTGAAACACAATCAAATTACAGAAGTAGGCGACCTCACGCCAGGCATGATCGGCGATAAGACTAAACAATCATTGTCTACGAAAAGGTGCAGAAACGAAGTGGCTGATGATTTTCACGTGTGACCTGCTGGATCAATACCATTCAAACTTACCACCCTCGGACTGCGCTGGGGATTTACGACTGGCTGGGAATGCATTGAAGGCTTGGGATACGATTCTCACTGAACAGCCCCGGAAACTTCCCCCAGAAGTGTGCGATCATCTCGAAGGCCTGGCTGCCCTTCATTGCATTCACGCCGAAAAAGCAGGAGTCCACATGATGCCCAAACACCACCAGTTTAGGCATCTAGCGGGACAGGTACGCACCAAAGGGAACCCGAGGAAGTTTACGACATATCACGATGAAAACATGAACGGTGTAATAGCTTCTATTGCGAGAACGGTGCATAGGTCTCGCTTTCGGCTAATGGTATTCAGGAAATATGGGAAAATGTTCGAAGGACGTGGGGCCGAGGGAAGGGTTGCTGCATGCATGCGCAGTGTGTTGTTGCGGGCTTGCATTTTCACATCTGCATGTTGCTCTTAGCAGGAAGAAGGGGTGGGAGGGCGAAGCCCCCGACCGCTACGGCCATGGGACAACGCTACAAGGAGAAGCAACCCCCTCGAGACCAAGATGGGTTCAAGGAGATGACATGCAATGAGTTTCCGCTCTCCCTCCCTCATCGCTCCTCGCCCTCCGCCATTGCGTCCCAGTCGCAGCGATATCTCCACGGGTGTGATTCCCAAGTGGCCAGCAGGAAACGAGATGCAGTCAAGGCGATGCCGCGCAATGAGTTTCGAGCACTCCTCCTCCCCACCCCTCGCACTCTGGAAGCACCCGTCCCAATCGCAACGACCCACGAGGTTCGCAAAATGAATTGAGATCTCGAGACAATGAAGTTCAACCAGAAACCGATGATCGTGCAATGAGTTTCGAGCACTCCCACCCCACACCACTCCCCGTCCCCTGGACATATGTATGTGTGTAAAGATATACACATCTATATATATATATATATATATATATATATATATACTATCGCGTCCCAATCGCAGTGTGATTCCCACGTGGCCAGCGTGGGCCAATATGTTGTCAAGGCGATGCCGTGCAATGAGTTTCGAGCACTCCCCCCCCCCCACCCTTCGCACCCTGGAAGCATACATTGCGTCCAATTCGCAACGATTCACGCAAATTACCTCCTCCTCTTCCCAATCGCAAGTCCCCCCACCACTCCCGTGCCCTTTCCTTCCCCTAGACGGCAGGTCCTAATGCTTCTCACCGCCGTGTTTTGATCAGCTGTCTTTGGGCGTACCGCTCTCCCTCGCCACGCAACCAATGGGCGGGCCGAGGACCAGAGGATTTCGACCTCACATGTGGGTTCTGAGTTGGGCGTGTCCGACTTTGCCAAGCAGGCCGCCTGTAACATCTACAAAGAATTCGGCGTCAGGCCTTTTACCCAGAGGCTGGGGTTCAAGAAGGCCGCCAAACTCGTCTCTGCTCAGCTCGGCAGTGTAGAGCGAGACCTTGATTTTTTCGAAGTCCCCAGCTGTCTTGACAACGTGCATCTCTGCATGCGTTTGCTCGCCGTGCGTGCCGCTCGACCGCTCGCATGTGCCGCGTGTTCCGACTGGGGTGTGTCTCGCATGCTCGGGGGTGCATGTATTGGTCGGGCTCGCGTACTTCACGTGCTCGTGTACTCCAGATTTCGCAATACAAGGGAGGGGGTCTGGACCCTCCAAGACAAGCCATTTCAGACCCCCCCCTCGTGGGAGAACCCTCCAAAACATCGTCCCCAGACCCCCCCAGGCCCTCCAAGATAGCCTGGAAGAGACCGCCCCCCCCCTAAATGAGACCCCCCCTTTATTGCGAAATCTGGAGTACCAAGCGTGCTCAGACTTGGTCGCACTTCCAGTCTCAACCATTGTTTCTTTGGTAGCCAGGTTTGCTGCGGCACTGGAATTATGTCTGAGACATTCGGCAGCCACGGCCTGCGCGCTACGAAGACTCGTGCATTGGACGAGGAGGGGCATGTGCAGTGCGATGCCTAGCTCTTTCTCGCACCCATCCTCGGACTGCGAGGGGTTCGGCTGCTCCCTCAGCCAAATCTTACCTGTGCCGCCCTCTTCCCTCGTCGCCCGCTGCCCTGTTAACGCAGAACCGAATAGTTAACTGCCCCCCTTCCCCCCCGCGGTCCATGGTAACGGGCAGGATATTGTCATGGTGGAAATGCAGATCCACCTGGGCATGTGCATCCTGCGGGTCAAGGAGAAGGGCTGCGTTTCGTGTACGGTGGATTTCTCTTCCGCCTCTAGACAGTTTGCGGGATCAGGGTATGAAGCCAGAGTGAGAGAGAGATCGTCGAGGCGGAACTGGTTACTCCAGATTTCGTAATAAAAGGGAGGGGGTCTGGACCCTCCAAGACAAGCCAGTTCAGACCTCCCCCGTGGGAGAACCCTCCAAAACATCGTCCCCAGACCCCCCGGGCCCTTCACGATAGCCTGAAAGAGACCCCCCACCGAAATGAGACCCCCCTCTTATTACGAAATCTGGAGTAGCTTGGTCAGGACATAGGAGCGGGCATGGCATCGATCCCACTTGTACGCAGCGTGGGCGTTGCTCCCCTTGCCGCCAGGTGGAACGCACGACGTGGATGCGCTTCTCACAGAATTCAACGCAACGTTCATCTGCCAATGTATTCGGAGATGATGCGGAAGGGGTGGGAGTGTGAATGACCAGGCGCGTGAGGGACCACGTAGCAGACCGATATTGGTCAGGTGGCGTCGAGAGTATGCATGTCATGGTGCGCAGGCCCTGCTCTCTGCCCTGCCCTGGCTGGCCTTCCCTCCCCTCTACGATGCTGTCTGAGATTCCGAAATCGTCGCCGCTCGTCGCCCCGATGCCCCGACCCATATCAATAGCCTCTCTCACCCTCTCTCTCTCTCTCACTCTCCCTCGTTATTGCCACCTTGTTCCCCCCTCTTCCCCTCTAGTGGTTGTCTGTGTGGGTTGATGGTGTTGTTGTTGGTGTGTTTCTCTATCTCGCTCTCTCGCTCTCTCTCGCGTTCGTTCTCTCTCTCTCTCTCTCTCTCTCTCTCTCCCTCCCCCTCTCTCGCTCTCGTTACTCTCTCTCTCTCTCTGACTCTCTCTCCTTCCCCCCCCATCCCCTCTCGCCCTCGCTCCCTCGCCCTCCAGCGTTCGGGGCAGCGAAGGCCTACTCGCCAGCAGATAAAACAAATATTGCAGCTGAGGTTGTGGCATTGCTTGCCATGCTGGCATCTATGAGGAAAATGTGGTGGATACTCTGGAAAGAATTTCAGTCGCGCCTGCTTGAGCACCCGTCAATGGACGTGCTGCTGGCAGTTTGCAAACCCAAGTGCATGTACACGTACATGAGCGCAGTCATGTCTGCCCCAATCGTTTCAAAAGGGTGACACATCTATACGACGTTACCGCAGCACGTGCACAATCAATTAGAAAAGAAAAAAAACAAACACCAGTGCTACAAAGAGCGAACGTTCCGCTCACTGATATGGGAAACGAAAAGCTGGCACTGTTGTGGAAGAGATATACGACGTTCTGCGATGCGGTCTTCAACGCTTGGAACGATGCTCGGAAAGGCGTGCTTCCTTCCTTTCTGATCTTGTACCCCCTGCACTCCTCGACCCCTTTTCGCCTTACTTCGCACCGCCCTCCCGCGCCCCCCCCTGCCCCATCCCTCCTCGACCATCCATCCCCGCCAGATCCCCCCCCCTCCATCGCAACAGTGCCAGTGTGTGCAGCGGGCACGGGGGTTAAGAATAACCCCAGTTTGGATGCGTGCCACTGTTTCTCGCGCTCGGGCGATCTGCCTTGAAATGCGCTCGTCCCGATTCGATTCGATATGTTCGGGCGATCCGATGCGGCAAGATGCACGCGTGCTGCGTCCGTGCATCCTGACGCGCCGACTCGATTCGATTCCGACTCCGAGCCGATGCGGTCATATTCGATGCGCAAGCCGATCCGATCCGATTCCCCGATTCGAGCGACCAGAGCGGCCGTTGAGGCGCTTACCGCGTGGCTTCGGACAAGAAGCTGGCCGACTCCCAAGCGGGCCTCGACGCGTTCTGGACCCGCAGGGGGGGTCGGCGAGGAGGATCGGGCAAGCAGGAGATCGCAGTCTTCTCCTCGAAGGGTTTCGCCACCCTCCAGGCATGTTCATTATTCCTCCTCCTCCTCGTTCCCCGACACCGTCGCCCTCGCCCACCCGCCCCCCCCCCCCCGTTGGGCTGGAGCCCATCTCCACAGATTGGAGAGGGGCTTGCAGCCAGGACCCGCACGGCGACCTCATCTTCAGCAGCGCCAGCGGGAGCACCAGAGGTTCAGGCGGGAAACGGGGGGGGTCAGGCCAGGATTTGTCATGCAAGAAGTTTGGTTCTCGAGCTAATGATTTTCGTTTTCTCATCGTGCCGATCAGTTTGTATTTCCCATCCTCGCCTTTACCCTCCCACGCTCCTCATGTTTCTCTACCCCTCGTCGTTCGCAGCATCTGTTCTCCCCTCCTCTCCTCCTGGTCCTCATCTTCTCTCGCACGCCTAGAGGTTGACGCCGACGCCGATATCGGCGGCATGTTTCAAACGAGGGAAGAATATCCCGATCTCGGTGATGGCGGTGCGACTCTGACTTCCAAGGTGACCGAACTATTACCACCAAAACCGAAATCTAGGATCATCTTCCCCCTATGGAAGAAAACCTCTGCGTTGGTGTTGGTGCCCAGTCCAGGCCTCCAATTCTGCCCCGCCCCGCCCCTTCTCCGCCTCCTGGCCTTTGAACGGCGAGGGCGAGGGAGGCTGCTGACATGAAGCTCAGCGACTGAGAGCTCGGCTGCCACGACCAGGCAGCCTCGGATAGGCGCAGTTCGGGCGCATCAGGAGGATGTGGAGGATAAGGAAGATGAGGGGGGTGAGGATGTGGAGGATAAGGAAGATGAGGATGTTCGAGGCATGGTTTCACGTTCCGAATTTGAGTTCTGCATGCCCTGGCAGCGCCAGGGGCCGCCGCCCGAGCGGCCAAGGATAGGCGCAGTTCGGGCGCCTCAGGAGGATGTGGAGGATAAGGAAGATGAGGGGGGTGAGGATGTGGAGGATAAGGAAGATGAGGATGTTCGAGGCCTGGTTTCACGTTCTGAATTTGAGTTCTGCATGCCCTGGCAGCGCCAGGGGCCGCCGCCCGAGCGGCCAATGCAGTCGGACCGAGGTATGCGATCGAGGCCGGTTCGGATGGGCCGCCTCCGTTGGATGCTCGTGTGCATCCTGGGGAAGGTACCATGAGATGTTCAGTTTGTGTTGGCCGAGGGCCCCATGTTCGCGGGGCTGTTCTTCTGGCCTAGGTCCGACTGTACCGCCGATTCACGGCCCTCGGTGTTTTGGCATATGTGCGCCTGTCCCCGCCTCCTCCGTCTGCTCCATAAGGCATGCGTGTTCCCATAGCCAATCGACCATGAATTTGAAATCTACACATGTTGTTCTCTCCTCCCTGCTCCTCCATGGGGCCGTTTGAGGTCAAGCAAGTTTCTTACTTAATTAATGTCGCCTGAGCCCCACCCAGGGGGCGCAGGCATGGCGCGGCGGGATCTCGGCGGCACGTTCTGTCACCCGTTCAGCTGAAATAAAATAGAAAGAGAGAGAGAGAGAGAGAGAAAGAGAGAGAGAGAGAGACACACACACATAACAAAAGAGAGACATAACGAGGAACGAGAGAGGGAAAAAGAGGGGGACAGAGAGAGAGAGAGAGAGAGAAACGGGTGTGCCTCCTCCTCATCTTCCTTTTCCTCCTCCTCCTCCTCCTCGGTCGGTGTCTGGATCTGATCGCTCTCAACGATCTGTTATGTATATATATATATATATGTGTGTACGTATGCATGTGTACATACATACATACCATACATGCATACATATCTGCATACACACATGTATGCACGCGTGCATGCATACTTACATGCATGCATGCATGCATACATACACACATATACGTACTGTGTACATGTACACATATGTACGCATACACCTATATATGTACAGAAAGAGGTAGATGGGGAGTACAGCCACGATGCGCGCGTACGCGCATGCATGCATGCGTACATATATATATATATATATATATATATATATATATGTTTATGTGTGCAAATCAGTCATGCATTTGCACGCGTATATATACTGCGCACGTGTATATAATCATAAAGAATGGAAGCACTTGCGCACACGCCATAAAACAACAAAAACACAAACACAAAGCTGCGGCAGCCAATTACTTAGAAAAAAGCGGTGCTACAAGAAAAAAACTGTGCTAGAACATTGCTGCAACTTAAAGCTGTGGACGCAACAAAATATGTAAAAAGCTGCCGGCGCTTCTGGGGCTGTGGGATAACTTCTGGGCCTCGCTGCGTCTGGCCGGGCGCCAACTCGAACCGGTCCGCCGCTCTGGAGTCGTGGTCGGTGGGGTTCCGCTTGCTCTCGGAGTAGCGGTGGTAGTGCTGGACTCCAGTGGCGAGCTGCCGAGCTGCGGACTGGCAGGCCAGCTGGCGCAGGACTGGGTTGGCACATCTGCCCTTCTCGAACGCCATCTTGGATGAGAGATTGTCCCCTATGGAGAGGACGCGGCATCCGTGAGCGGCCACCGACCGAGTGGCGCGCCTGAGCCCCAGGAGGGTCGCCCGGCCCTCCAGCACGTGGATCGGGGCTGGGAAGAGGAAGGGGCCACGCACGACGAGCAGCCACCGGTGCGCCGCGAGCGCCGAGTCGGGCAGCGCTGGGACGGCGCCGCCGCCGGCAGCGGCTGCCGCTGTCTCAACCTCGATCCTGGCCGGGCGGCGTCGCCGCGAGGCCCCGCGCCCCGGCGGCGGCCGCCCCAAGCCTGCGAAGAGGCTGTCGTCGTCCGCGCCCGCGGCGAAGCCTGACTGCACGGCGACCTCAAAGCCAGGAGGGTCACCAGGGTCGTCAGCGTAGCGATCAACGGCCAGGAAACGCCAGCGCTCGCGGCACGCGCCGACGTCCATCAGCTCGTCTGCGTCGAAACGGGACGTGACCACGGCGTAGCCCTAAAGACTGGCGCCCGAGCAGTAGGGCCAGGGATGCCAGGGCGCCCCGAGATCGACGCCGGCTAGCGGGATCAAGGCCTTCACGAGGTTGAGCTCGCGCAGTTGCTCGACGTCGAACCTGCAGTAATCGTGGGAAGAGTAGACGATGCGGCACAGCGAGCACAGGACCGATAGAGCGGGCCTCAGGAGCATGAAGTGGTGCACGACGTGGCCCAGCAGAACCTCCATAGCGCCCGGCGTGCAGCCGCCACGATCCAGCAGGGCCGTCACCGCCCGATGGAATCGCCAGCCGCACTCGCGTTGCGGGACTGCCCGACCTGCTGCGAAGTCGAACCGCACACCGCAGCACACGAAGTCCTGCGTCGCGTAGCAGACCTCGTGATAGGAGGGCCCCCGCCTCTGAAACTCGCGCAAAATGCCCTCGAGCGCCGCGTTGACCAGACTGCGAGGCGAGCCCACGACGTTTGAGTTGTCGACATACGAGGAGCCAGCCAGTTGGCCAGAGGCGAGCCGCGCGCTGGGGGCACGATCGGAAACGATCCTGACGCTGTCGGGCGGGATGCGCAGGGCCTGGCTGGTGCCGATGCGAGTGACGTCCTCGGTGATGCCGTTGCAGATGTGGAGCGACCAGCTCCAGCCCATGGCGAGCCCCTGGAAGCACGGGTACACGATGGTATCGGGCTCCACCTGTATGTAGGTCTGGCTCACCTCGTCGCAGACGCAGTCGGTGTCGAAGTTGCGAGTGGCCATCGGGAAGTCGAAGCAGAACCAGCTGCCGATCTCGAGCCACTGCATCTGGTAGAAGCCCTGGCGAAGGTCCGCGCTGGCCCCGCGGCAGCCGTCGTCGCTGGCGTTCAGCAGGTTCGAGTCGAGGCAGAGGCCACTGAGGGCCGCGGCGGAGCCCAGCTCGGTCCGCGGAGGGCGGCGGTGCATGCTCGAGGGCTCGCGGCCGTCGATGACCATGCGCAGCGAGCCGTCCTTCTTGCCGACGAAGAAGACGCTGGCGCGGGCGCGGCATCGCGCACGCACTCCGACGAGGCCGATGCGCATGAAATTCTTAAACAGGTCGAGCCGCAGGGCAGGGTCCCGCCGCAGGTTGACGTCCCAGAAAAGGTAGACGGGCGGCAGCTCACCAGACTCGACCATGCCATCCAGCACCGACTGGAAGCGGAAGATGAAGTTCTCGGGCTCGTTGATGAGCGGGAGCATAGAGACTGGCACCAGCGAGCGGATGGGCAGCGGGCGGATGCCGCTGTCGAGAATCTTCAGGAGGTGCGGCTCATAAGGTCGAACTGGCGTCGGCCTGCCGCTGTAGACGCCCTTAGACTTCAAAATGGAGAGGAGCGCTTCATCACCGCCCACGCCGAGGGGGTCGCCGAAAGCGCCCACTCGCTGATGAATGCGCTGCAAAATTGATGCCCGGGCGGCGTTCGCAGGATGGGCCGAGGCGAGACGCCTCGCAGCCGCCAGCGGTGCGTCCAGGTCGTTCAACGCCATGATCGCCTGGTTGCACCGCCGCCGCACGCCGCGCGAGAGCCCAAGTGGCGGCACCCCCGCTGGCGTCGATCTGCCCAGCAGCGGCAGAGGGAAGGGGTCGCCGTGAGCGCGACCCGTCAAAAAGCGAGGAGCCCCTTCGGCGGCAGGGCCTCGCGCGCGGCCCCCAGAGAAGCGGACCGCGGAAGGCGCATGGGCCGAGCGACGCCGGGGTGAGCGCCGCCTCTCCGCAGCCCGCGCGACAGGAGTCATCCCTCCGCGGCGGCCGAGGCGTCGCCCCGACCGCCGCGTCCTCGTCCGCCGCCACGCCCACGCCCGCGGCCTCGGCCGCGGCCACTGCCTCCACCGTCTCCGTCACCACCGCCGCCGCCGCCGCCGTCCTCCCATCCGCCTGAGCCCCGGCCGCGGCTGCGAGAGACCTGCCCCTCGCGCCACTGCCGCTGCTGCTTTAACGTGAAGGCCTCGTCCTTCTGGATCTGCGCAATGTACTTCGAGTACTCGGGAAGGACCAGGCCGCCAAACTCGTTGACAGCCGAGGCGACCACCGCGTCGAGGTCAAGGAAGTCAGGGTTCCGAGGGTTGCGGGCGACCGCCATCTCGATCTGGACCAAGTAGCGCACAAGGACCTCGGCCCCCGCGAGGCTGGGCAGGTTCAGCATGTCCTGCTGCTGGAAGGCGTGTAGGGCGTCGGTGAGGCGACGGTGGCAGCGCGTAATATTACTGTTCGGGGAGACGCCTGACTTGAGGACGAAGTCCAGGTGGTGGGTGACCCACTCCATGCCCGTAGCCCGCAGCGTGCGCATGCACTCGTGCGTGACCCTCTGGCCCCCCAACGGAAAGGGCGGCTCGGGCGCGGTGTGCTGCAAGCCCAGCGACTCGACGAACGAGATGAAGCGTTGGCCGCTGACCGGATCCCTCACATCACCTGTGATCCGCGCGTCTCTCTTGTGGCCCGATACGAGCGCGCGTTCCCAGGCCTCCCCATCGGAGTCCGATACGCGCTGACAGAAGGTCCAGCAGTTGTCGATCAGCACCAACCCGCTGAGGTAGTCCTCGTCGCCAGGAGCACCCGGCGTGATGAAGGAGGCGGGGTGCACCTCGTCCCCGAAGCTGCGGGCCGAGGGATCGGCGACTCTCCACACACCTGCGTCACCTCCGACGGCTGGGCCTGCTGGGGCGGCCTGCCCAAGTACAAGGCCGAGTGAGGCCGCCTGCTGCCGAATCCGCGTCAGGTCGGCGGCAGGCACAGGGTTGTCGAAGATGTAGCTCTCGTTCCAGTGAGCGGCGGGGAAGGCGCAGTTGCGCCCAAGCGCCACCATGCGGTGTGTGTGTGTGTGTGTGTGTGTGTGTGTGTGTGTGTGTGTGTGTGTGTGTGTGTGTGTGTGTGTGTGTGTGTGTGTGTGTGTGTGTGTGTGTGTGTGTGTGTGTGTGTGTGTGTGTGTGTGTGTGTGTGTGTGTGTGTGTGTGTGTGTGTGTGTGTGTGTGTGTGTGTGTGTGTGTGTGTGTGTGTGTGTGTGTGTGTGTGTGTGTGTGTGTGTGTGTGTGTGTGTGTGTGTGTGTGTGTGTGTGTGTGTGTGTGTGTGTGTGTGTGTGTGTGTGTGTGTGTGTGTGTGTGTGTGTGTGTGTGTGTGTGTGTGTGTGTGTGTGTGTGTGTGTGTGTGTGTGTGTGTGTGTGTGTGTGTGTGTGTGTGTGTGTGTGTGTGTGTGTGTGTGTGTGTGTGTGTGTGTGTGTGTGTGTGTGTGTGTGTGTGTGTGTGTGTGTGTGTGTGTGTGTGTGTGTGTGTGTGTGGTGTGTGTGTGTGTGTGTGTGTGTGTGTGTGTGTGTGTGTGTGTGTGTGTGTGTGTGTGTGTGTGTGTGTGTGTTGTGTGTGTGTGTGTGTGTGTGTGTGTGTGTGTGTGTGTGTGTGTGTGTGTGTGTGTGTGTGTGTGTGTGTGTGTGTGTGTGTGTGTGTGTGTGTGTGTGTGTGTGTGTGTGTGTGTGTGTGTGTGTGTGTGTGTGTGTGTGTGTGTGTGTGTGTGTGTGTGTGTGTGTGTGTGTGTGTGTGTGTGTGTGTGTGTGTGTGTGTGTGTGTGTGTGTGTGTGTGTGTGTGTGTGTGTGTGTGTGTGTGTGTGTGTGTGTGTGTGTGTGTGTGTGTGTGTGTGTGTGTGTGTGTGTGTGTGTGTGTGTGTGTGTGTGTGTGTGTGTGTGTGTGTGTGTGTGTGTGTGTGTGTGTGTGTGTGTGTGTGTGTTCAAGTCGAGCCTCTGAACCGAATAGTCGGGAGTGCTGGCGATCCACACGCCCGCGGTGGGGCTCTGGACCAGAAGCAGCCTGTGATGCCACCTCAGCCCCGCCGCGTCGTCCGGGTAGTCCACCAGCACCTGCGGCTCGGGCAGGTCGAGAGGAGTGACGCGCGCCATGGCGCCGTCACGCCCGCTGGGCGCGCTGGCTCGGGGTCACGGGCCCCGTGGTGAAGGGCGCGGCGGCCGGCGGCGGCGCCAGCGGCTTCGGCTCGGCCCGCGCGGGGATCACCGGTGGCGTCCGTCGGCCCACAGCCCACGTCAGCGCGGCCCCCAGCGCAGCGGCCAGCCCCAGAGCCAGCCACCCCGGCCCGCCAGCGGGCGGGCGCTCGTCGAAGGCCTCGGTGAGGCTCGTCGCCGGCCCGCTGCACGTCAGCGTGCAGGCCTGCGACGGGCACGGCGGGCAGGCCGGGCAGGCGGGCCCTCGCAGCAGCCAGAGCTCGGCGAGGCGCGCGCCGACCCCGACCAAATCCACGAGAGCGGGCATGCGCGAACGTGGCTCCTGCCGAAAGACTTGAGCACAAGTGTTCAGACGGTCGTGCTCAAAAGAGGCGAGGCACAATTAACTTCAAAGAACGACATATATGAAGATAAATGTAATATAATTATGTGTGCGCGAGGTTTGGGACCATGGAAGGAATGCCCCCGTAGCGCACTCGGACCCCGGTCCCCCCTAACGAATTTGAGCCTCCCTGAACTCATGGGCCCCCAATGCAGGGCGCCCCCTCGGCTTTCTGGGCTTCCTGCACCGCCCGGCTGGCCTTCGGAAAGGGGCCCCAAGCGGTCAGGAAAGTGGCCAAACGGCCCCGCGAGAGCGCAAAGCGGTCCCCCAACGGAGGCTCTAATAACACCTCCAATAGGTCCTTCAAACGCAAAACAACAAATACTTATCAGATGGCGTTTCTATGATTGTTGGATACTCGTTTCTTCAATCTTCCAGGCATCCCAGGCCATCCAAAAAAACACGAAAACTGTACCCAAACTGTCCAAGAGAGACTGCAAACAGTCCAACGAAGCCCCAAGACGGCCCAACAGGGCCGGAAGAGAGCTCCCTGACATCGCAGAATGGTCCCAAGCAGCTAGCAGCTCCCCGAAGCAATCTAAATCGTGACCCGGTCGTCGAGGGAGACTGTGATTCACAGCAAGGTGGCCCGAGAAAGCTTCCAGAGACCCCCAAACGCGCCCAGGACGCCCCCAAAGCCCGCAAGAAATCTCTCAAAAAGCTTTCGTGACCCAAGAGGTTTTCCACTGATGGCCATCCTCCCCCCAAAAAAACTGTGGAGCTTTGGAAAGGGTTCGCACAGCACGTAGATCATCCGTTCCACGCAATGTTGCGTCATACTTCAACGCATATGAAAGCAGACTGCCCCGGTCCAACAAGGCATTGACGCCCTCTGTCCATGTGAAACTATAACGATGCACGCACTCGCGTATCCAGACAGTGCATGTTCCCTTGCAGGAACCGACTGAAAGTCCTCAAGCGCACATGCCGAATTTGGACCCAACGCGTCACCATCGTTGCCACCGCTGTCGAAAGTCATCATGATACTGCGCCCGCCCGAATCAGAGACCCGCACTGAAGTTCCAGGGCGCCAGCGCGGCCTTTGAGACTCGCTGAAGTCCCCGTTGATAAGCGCAATCGCGGCCGCATCGGTTGCGCGACATCGGCTGGCCCCTCTGCGCGCTACGTGCGCTCGCACAGCCGAGGCGGCCCCCACTGGCACCCTCGCCATCTCGCGTTTCTCACCCCGCCCATCCTCAACCCACTCACCGCTCCCGCCCTTCGTCAACGCCTCTGACCCCAGAGCCACAGTCAATCCCATGCCATCTCTCGACAATGCTCACCGCATCCTGCCCTCATCACCTCCCACATCTGTCTCCTGCCCCCTACCCCTCCTCCCCATCAGGAGCCCCTTCTGCGCCAACCAGTCCCAAATAGTCACCGAAATCGCGGCCGCATGGGTTGTGCAAAAGCAGTTGCGGGCGGAAGGATGGGATGATGGCGCGAGCAGTGGAATTGACGACATCAAGTTCTACAAGGTCGAGTACACCCCATAGCTTTCACTCCAGTTCTCACCACCTAGCTTACACGACATAGCTTGCACCGCATAGCTTTTCGACCCCGTAGTTCACACCATATACTTAAAATTCACCACATAGCTTCCATCACATAGCTTGCCTGTTACACCGCACATATGCCACCCCCCCCACTGCAAGGAAGCGCTGGTTGGGGTCCGCGCTGGCTAGCCTTTATATAACCTGGTGTTGCCACTTGGGGGCCGTCTGGGAGCCTCTCTGCGGGCTCCCAGGAGCTATCTTCGCGAGCCTCGTGGGAGCTTCCTCGGCAACCATGGGGCCTCTTTGGGGCGCCGGGGGCACCTTTGGGCGCCTCTTGGGGGCATCATGGAACCGTCTTCGAGGCTAAGTAGGTTGAGGCCTCGGAAGGATATAGGAAGCGAAAAGCGAAGAATGCCACAATCGTTGATTACCCTCAGGTGTGTCAAACTTCCACAGCCCTCCTAGGGCGCCCCTTCGGACTCTCTTGGGCTCTCCTGGGGGCCGCGTGGGCCGTTGGGAGCCTGTGGGGGCTGTAATGGCCCTTTGGGTGAGTTTCTTGGTAAGCGCCTACGTATGTTGGAGACGTTTTCGGGAACGTCGTTGGGAAATCGTTCGGGCGTCATGTGGGCTATGTTGACGCCTCGGAAATACATCGGAGGCAAAAGTCCCAAACCACGGATGTCCCTTATGTTGTTATATCACGTATGTTTGGCTCTGGAGGGCCTCCAGGTTGGCCCCTGGGGGCTCTCTGGGGCCCTGATGGGGGCTTCTTGAACCGTCGAGAGGCGGTCTGAGGCCGTCTTGAAGCAGGCTTGGGCTGTCTCGGCGGTGTCCTGGAGATCTCTTGGGCCGTTTAGGCAGAATCGTGGATGATCCTGGAGCGCTCTCGGGAGGTCTCGGACCCACATACGGGGGGAGGCCCCACCCCTGGCCAAAAGGCACAGGATCTGCCACATATGTATAAGTAATAGTATTCGCTATACACATGTGCATGTTCTGCTTTCCGAGATCAGGCCCGCGGCCTGCGAGGAAGCGCTGGAGATGGGCGATATCTCGCACACCGACTCCACGCCGCCGAAATGCACCTTCCCGATGCCACGCTCCAGCGCGGGCCCCGCGGACAGCGATGACGCGTCTTGGCGCCCCGCCTGCGCGCGACCGCCCGCACGCGGCCGCCCAGATGGCGGCAACGAGAAGTCGGCGACAAGAACCGCGCGGACAGGGGCGCGGCGGCGGCGGCGACGTCGGCAGCGACGACGACGACGACGACGACGACGACGATGACGACGACGACGACGACGACGACGACGACGACGACGACGACGACGACGACGACGGCTGCGGCGGGGGCGGGGGCGGGGGCGGCGGCGGCCCCCTCCTCCTCCCCCCCCCCGCGAGATCCCGCGCGTGTGGGGGGAGGGGGGCAGGCAGGAGCGCGAGGCGCGATGGGGGAGCGAGAGAAGGAAGGGTCGTCGTCAGCGTCGTCGTCGTCGCCGTCGGCGTCCTCCTGCTGCGCTCGCGCTGAAACGCCGTGCTTCGCCGCACGCCCGCGAAGCACGGCGTCTCAGCGCGAGCGCAGGGCAGCACCCCCCACCTGCTCCCACCTGCTCACCCTCCCTCCATTTCTTGTCCTTACAAGTCCGCCGACCCTTCAGGCTGCGAGGCTTAGGGTTGCTGCTCCCTGCTGCAATTGCAGGTTCCACAAATCCAATCGTGATAATTCCACTCCCTGCTTCCTATTGCAAATGGTCACTGTCCGCGCAAAGGGGGGGCCCTACGGACCCGGCTACCACGCCCAGATCGCGTTTTCTCAATTCATACGGGGCGTGGGACACGCACAAATACATGAAACTCGCGCCCCCGAAACCACAAACCCTTGTAAACTGCGTCCCCGAGGCAGGAGTCGTTCGAAAACTACGCAATGGTCGCGTCCCCGGAGCTATAAACGTTTTGCAAATTACGCCAGGTTCGCATGCCCAAAGCCAAGAGTGCTCCAAGGCGCCCGGATACGGTTCCAAGACGGCCCAAGTGGGCCCAAAGATGCCGCAAGAGTGCTCCAACAGGCCCCCCGAAAGAGCCCCGAAACGTCAAAATCGCTGATTTGACAAGAAGTCAAAATCGCTGATTTGACAAGAAGGTATCGAAAGGATTTTGGCCTTATCGTATTTTCTGTTTTCCGACGCTCCAAGGGCGGCCCAAGAAGCTCCCAAAACCGCCCCAAGACAGCCCAAGACGCCTCCAAGAGGGCCCCAAAACGGCCCAAGAGGGCTCCGATATGGCGCAAGAAGCGCTCGCGATGGTCCAAGACGGCCTCAAGACGGCCCCAAGCAAGGCCCGAGCAGGGAACCACAAACCGAACGTCCGATGTTTGTGCCCCGAGAAACAAGCCCCCAGAAGGCTCCAAGAGGCCGCCCCGAGGTCCCAACAACACGCGCCCGAAAGGCACACAAGAGGCCCAGAAGATACCCCACGAGGCCCCAAGAGGCAGCGAGAAGTAAGGGTTGAGGGCTTGACCACGAGGTCATAAACTGAGAACACTGATCTCATGATAACGTCGGCCACACATCGATGCACCCCACAGCTTATCCTTCGATGGCAATCAAGACGAAAAGTAAGATATCAGCCATGAGATAGCGGCGGATCATAGATAGACGTGGCCTTTTGTCCGATACAACGATCCAGATCGAGTCGCACTCAGTCGTGCTACTGGCGCACAAGACAGCGCACGATTGAACCAAGGCAAGGCCGGATATAGCGTTCGCAAATAACTCAAATATCGTGTGAAAAAAGGAAGGGAGAGCCCGAACGCTAGATCCAAGTTCAAAACAATTATTCCAAGTACAGAAGACTGATGGGAAGGTTGTGCTTCAACATTTTCACCAGTGCGCAGGCAAGTAAGTGAAAAACAACGCAGTGTATCATGGCCGAGCAAGGGCACCCCCTCCCTGTTCAGCCGCAAATAACTACGGATGGTCACACGCGAGACTGCGCGACCATCCGCAGAGGATTAAAGGGAACGGCTGGCAAAAAGCCAGCCGCCAAAGCGCGCGGCATGTGAAAGGATATGAATCGGCGGTCCGATACCCTCAAGAACTGAAAGGCTTAGGCCCGTGTCCGGACTGTCGCATGATCTGTAGGTATAAGGGCCCGTGACCGGGCAAGGATAACTATGTGCGCGCGTTTGACTGGTCATCCTCGTGCCTATCCGCTAGCCCTGAGTAGGGCACCCTTATGATAGTGCTGTCCCTTTCTTGTCTCGGTGAGGCACGTGCTTCTTTACGTCACAGTTGAAGGACCGATTGCCCTCCATAGCTTTCAGCAGTAATGCCCGATGGATGCACCCCGTGGCATGACCATCAGCGGGTATGTCCCGTGCATCACACCACTGCACGCTATGAACGACACCTCGGTTCATCATTTGTCTCATCCAACTGGCGCGCCCCAGCAGGGCGCAGTCGGTCGGCTCCTTCAAGTCCACGCATGGCAAAGATTTAAAGACCGACTCAGCGTCCACGGCAAGGATGGCTGTAATACCCAAACACCCAAAATGTTCTTTTTCGAGCGGATGTTAGGGGTCCAGCTACGCACTCATGTAGCGCAACGATGGTAGGGTAGCAGTCCTCAGGATCACGAGCGGCTGCCAGCCTCTCAGCTGAGTAGCTGGAATGACTTGCAAGCGATGCGACTTGCAGCGCGCATCGATCAGACGCACCACTGCCTTGCCATTAGGCGCGTGTCCACGCAGTCAATGGTTGGCCCCTCGGTCTTCGCACTTGGAGGTTCGTGGGTTTCCGTGCTCGCTGCAAGGGCGCCACGTGCACCGTCGACCGCGCCTGAGTGATTCATGCGTGCGCCAAGGCGCCGCGTAAGCTGATGAACAAGTCGGATGCTGTCTGCGCTGCCGTGCCTTCTGCCACCGCGCCCGTAAGTCCTGGGCGCTGCATTGGGCGACGCTGTTTAGCATATTCATCCTGATCTGGCTGGGCGCGCCGCCTACAAGCCGCTGCTTATGCGCCACACATCCAACGAGCACATCGAGCAGCAGCTCCAGCAGCTCGACGGCGCCGAGAAGAGAACGCTGGTGGGGGTAAAGGCGGAGTACGAGCTGCTTACGAAGTTCTTGGCAGTGGTGCGGCGCAACCAAGACGAGAAGGTGTACGACAACCACAAGATCGAAACCAAGGGTCGGGTTGTCATCGTCATGGGAAACTACCACCTCGCCTGCGCAACATGCCGAGTGAAGTCCAAAGTCGAGTATCACTCCCAGTGCCACCGCTGCGACGATGGCGAGGCGCGCATCTTCTTGAATACTGTCAAAGGGAGCTACTACTTCACTTGTGCCGCCAACGGAGAGCAGTCCAACATCGTGTACACCGTTGGGTACCACGGCTGCGACGACGGCAACGTGCGCATCGTGTTGCACTTTCGGTCCGCGCAGTTCGTGCTCACGCAGAAGGAGTCCGAGAAGTCACAGAAGGAGAACCTGAAGGCGGAGCACGAGCCGCGCACGAAGCTCATGGACGAGGCTCCGGGGGGGCACACTCAAGGATGACGTTGCCAACATCGCTGGGGCGGAGCAATACCACGAGAGGCACTACGACGAGCCCTTCGCCGACATCATGCGTTACGGAGTGCACAGTACCACCGGAGGCACTACGACGAGCCCTACGTCGACATCATGCGCTACGGAGTGGAGCTGTCCCGCATGAGGCACTACGACGAGCCCTTCGCCGACATCATGCGTTACGGAGCGGAGCAGTCCCACAGGAGGCACTACGACGAAGGAACGTGCCGAAGGGCGTGCGCCGCCAGTCTCAGCAGCTTTTGTCTTCGCTTCTAGGCCAGACCCCCAGCAGCTGCCGACTCGGGGTCGGCAGGACGTGCGCAGCCAGTCCCAGAATACTCAGAGCTGGAGCACGCCGCACGGCGTGCGCCGCCAGCCCCAGAAGATTCAGAGCTGGAGCATGCCACAGGGCGTGCGCCGCCAGTCTCAGCTTGTTCTGGCTTCTTGTCTGGGCTAGCCGACTCGAGGGTGGCAGGGCGTGCGTTGCCAGTCTCAGCAGATTCAGAGCAGGAGCATGCCGCAGGGCGTGCGCCGCCAGCCCTAGAAGAATCAGAGCTGGAGCATGCCGTAGGGCGTGCGCCGCCAGTCTCAGCTTGTTCTGTCTTCTTGTCTGGGCCAGCAGACTCGGGGTCGGCAGGGCTGGCACAGCCAGACTCTGCAGCGTCATTCCTTGCGACTGGACCAGGCGGCCCAGCAGCTGCCGACTCGGGGTCAGCCCATCTTGAAGGGCCCGAGGGCCCACACGATCAGCTCTTGAAGCTGAGAGCTATCCAGATGC